GCCACCCTAGTAACTGGGATTACAGGTGCCTACCACCACCCCCAGCTAATTTTGTATTTTTAGTAGAGATGGGTTTCTCTTTGTTGGTCAGGCTGGTCTCAAACTCCGGTGATCCTCCTGTCTCTGCCTCCCAAAGTGCTGGGATTACAGGCGTGAGCCACCACGTCCAGCCAGGGGTTTTTCTCTTTAATGCAGGGTCCCTACCTCTGTGTCACTCCTCCATGAGTTGGGTTCCAACTGCAGAGTGTAAACTGACCCTATTGGCTGTTTGTGAATATTTTCCCCAAATAAGGAAGGGAAGGGAGATGTGTGAGTCACTGATATGCGGTTTTGAAGGGGAAGGAGAATGTGTGTGTCACAAAGGTGGGACGTGTGGTTTCGAAGGGTGGAATAGGTGCAGAGTGGGCAGCCAAGGGAACAGATGTGTTATTGATTAGAGCTTACAGGAAGGTTTTTTATAGTAACTGGAGGCAAGGAGGCATGGAGAACAGGAAAGTTGAGTTTGAGACCAAAGAACAGGGAAGTTAACTGGCTCAATTTTTTTTTTTTTTTTTTTTTTCTTTTTTTTTAAGATGGAGTCTCGCACTGTCACCTGGGCTGGAATGCAGTGGCACAATCTTGGCTCACTACAACCTCCACGTTTTGGGTTCAAGCGATTCTCCTGCCTCAACCCCCCGAGTAGCTGGGATTACAGGTGCTCGGCACCACACCCAGCTAATTCTTTGCATTTTTAGTAGAGATGGTGTTTCACCATGTTGGCCAGGCTGGTCTCGAACTCCTGACCTAGTGATTCACCCGCCTCAGCCTCCCAAAGTGCTGGGATTACAGGTGTGAGCCACCGTGCTCCGCCTGGGTGAACTTTTGAAGAGAAATTCAGAGAACTAGATTGTATCTTACACCGCTACTTTGGAGGCCGAGACAGGAGAATCTCTTCAACTGGAGAGGCAGATGTTGCAGTGAGCCCAGATCCCATGACTGCACTCCAGCCTGGGTGACAAGAGTGAAACTCTATCTCAAAAAAAGAAAAGAAAGAAAAAAAGGCAATAATACTCAGCTGTTCTCTTCATCTGAAGTTCCTAGGTCTGTACTTCCTCACAGAGCTTCAAAATGGGCCTTCAGGAAGAAAGGATGGAGACTTTATTACACTGATAGTAGAATTATTTTTTATTATCAGTATATTATCCTAGTATCAATGTAATAAAGTATTTAAAGAATTTATTATTATTAACAGCATGTTTGGACTAAGTGTAGTTTTTACTTTTTTTTTGAAAATTTTGATTCTAAGGAAAACTTGAACATCTAACACACCCAGTCTAGTAGATTTATTTATTGTTAGCATTGTGCTTTTCTTTCTCCTTACATGAATATATTTTAAGGTGCACAATTTAAGTGTAAATTGAGAATAAATTGCACACGTGATACTTGACCTTTAAATACTTGATAATGCATCTCCTAAAAAAAAAGGTATTGTCATACTAAAACCACAGTACTAGTATTTCACTTAAATAAAAAATAATAATGTCATGAAATGTCTACTTTGTGTAGTAACCTGTTGGCCATTGCTGTCTTTTTTTGAGAAACATCTATTCTGACCTTTTGCTGATTTTTTTTTTTTTTTCTATCAGGTCGAGTTCCTTATATATTCTGATTATTAATGCTGGATAGTTTGTAAATATTTTCCCCCATACTGTAGATTACCTCTTCACTTTGTTGATTGTTTCTTTTGCTGTGGAGAATCCTTTTAGCTTGATGTAATCTCATGTGTTTATTTTTGCTCTTGTTGCCTGTGCTACTGAGGTCTTAACGGAAAAATCTTTACCCAGGCCAGTGTCCTGGATTGTTTCCTCAGTGCCTTCCTCTGGTAGTTTTATAGTTTCAGGTGTTAGATATGAGTCTTTAATCTGTTTTGACTTTATATTTGTTTATGCTGAGAGATGGCATCTGGTTTCATTCTGCATATGGTTATTCAGCTTTCCCAGCACTATTTATTGAAAAAACTGTTCTTAGAGCCAGGTGTGGTGGCCCACCTCTGTAATCTCAGCACTTTGGGAGGCTAAGGCCGGCGAGTCACAAGGTCAGGAGTTCGAGACCAGTCTGGCTAATATGGTGAAACTCCGTCTCTACTAATATACAAAAAAAATTAGCGGGGTGTGGTGGCACACGCCTGTAAACCCAGGTACTCGGGAGGCTGAGGCAGGTGAATTGCTTGAACCTGGGAGGTGGAGGTTAGAGTGAGTCGAGATTGTGCCACTGTATTCCAGCCTGGGTGACAGAGTGAGACTCTAGCTCAAAGAAAAGAAGACTGTTCTTTTCCCATTGTATGCTTTTGGTGCCCTTGTTGAAAATGAGCTGTCTGTAAATGTGTAGATTTATATTTAGGTTCTCTGTTCTCTTCCATTGATCAATGTGTTTGTGTCAGTACGATGCTGATTTGGTTATGTTAGGTTTGTAGTATATTTTAAAGTCAGGCAGTGTGATGCTTCTAGCTTTTTCCTTTTTGGTCAATATTTCTTTGGCTGTTTGAGGCCTCTTGTGGTTGCATATGCATTTTAGGATTTTTTTTCTCTATTTTTGTGATGAATGTCATTGATATTTTGATTAGGGTTGCTCTTAATTGTAAATTGCTTTGGGTAGTATTGTCATTTTAACAATATTCTCCTAATCCATGAGCATGGAATATCTTCCCATTTTTTTTCTGTATCCTCTACAGTTTGTTTCATTGGTGTTTTATAGTTTTCTTGTATGGCTCCTTCACACTTTTGGTTATTTTTTATCTTTTTCAGAGGTGAGGTCTCACTTTGTTTCCCAGACTGGAATACAGTGGTACAGTTGTAGCTCATGCAGCAGCCTTGAACACCTGGGCTCAAGGGAATCTTCCTGCCTCAGCCTATTGAGTAGCTGGGACTACGGCTGTGTGCTGTCATTATCATGCCTGGCTAATTTTCTTTCTTTTCTTTTCTTTTCTTTTCTTTTCTTTTCTTTT